GTCTGTGTGTGCGTGTGTCTGTGTGCGTGTAATCTGTAGGCGTTTGTCTGTCTGTGTGTCTGTGCATGTGTAATCTGTAGGCGTGTGTCTGTCTGTGCGTCTGTGCGTAGGTGTCTGTGTACTGCGTGTCTGTGTGTGTGTCTGTGTGTGTCTGCGTGTCTCTGTGTGTGTGTGTCTGTGTGTGTGTGTCTGTGTGCGTGTGTCTGTGTGCGTGTAATCTGTAGGCGTTTGTCTGTCTGTGTGTCTGTAGGTGTGTGTCTGTGTGTGTGTGTGTCTGTGTGCGTGTAATCTGTAGGCGTGTCTGTCTGTGTGTGTGTGTGTCTGTGTGTGCGTGTCTGTGCGTGTGTCTGTGTGTGCCGCGTAGTGGACCCCCCCCCCACTTAGAACTCACTGCAGTAGGAGACGGGGCAGCAATCGCCCATAACCGACGACTCCACCACCACCAGACGCTCGCCGGCTTTGACGCAGCGCGGCGCCGGCGGGCAGGTCGCTGAGCCGCACGGCGAAGAGGTGGACAACGAGGTGGACGAAGGAGGAGGAGATGGTGGAGTCTCCGAGTTGTCCTCGGGGTGATCCGTAGGCTCGTACGGAGGAGGAGTCGTGGGGAGTTCCGTCGCTTCATCCGTGGGGTGTGGAGGAGGCTCCGATGGCTCCTGGTCCTCAGTCGGTTCGTATGGAGGAGCAGTTGTTGGGAGTTCTGTAGGTTCTTGTGTTGGTGGTGGTGGTGGTCCTGATGTTGGTGGTGGAGGTGGTCCTGATGTTAGTGGTGGTGGTGGACCTGATGTTGTAGTTGGTAGTGGTGGTGGTTCAGTTTCGTCCTGATCCTCCGTTGGCTCGTATGGAGGAGCAGTTGTTGGGAGTTCCGTAGGTTCTTGTGTTGGTAGTGGAGGTGGTCCTGATGTTGGAGGTGGCCCTGATGTTGGTGGTGGTGGACCTGATGTTGTGGTTGGTGGTGGTGGAGGTGGTGATTCAGTCTCGTCCTGATCCTCCGTTGGTTCATACGGAGGAGGAGTTGTTGGGAGCTCCGTAGGTTCTTGTGTTGGTGGAGGTGGTGAAACTGATGTTGGTGGTGGTGGAGGTCCTGATGTTGGTGGTGCTGGTGGTCCTGATGTTGCTGGCGGTGGTGGTCCTGATGTTGGTGGTCGAGGTGGTCCTGATGTTGGTGGCGGTGGTGGTCCTGATGTTGGTGGAGGTGATCCTGATGTTGTTGGTGGTGGTGGACCTGATGTTGGTGGTTGAGGTGGTCCTGATGTTGGTGGTGGTGGACCTGATGTTGGTGGTGGAGGTGATCCTGATGTTGGTGGTCGAGGTGGTCCTGATGTTGGTGGTGGAGGTGGTCCTGATGTTGGTGGTCGAGGTGGTCCTGATGTTGGTGGTCGAGGTGGTCCTGATGTTGCTGGTGGTGGTGGACCTGATGTTGGTGGTCGAGGTGGTCCTGATGTTGGTGGTGGAGGTGGTCCTGATGTTGGTGGTGGAGGTGGTCCTGATGTTCGTGGAGGTGGTGGACCTGATGTTCGTGGAGGTGGTGGACCTGATGTTGGTGGTGGTGGTCCTGATGTTGGTGGTGGTGGTGGACCTGATGTTGTAGTTGGTGGTGGTGGAGGTGGTGATTCAGTTTCGTCCTGATCCTCTGTCGGCTCGTATGGTGGAGGAGTCGTGGGGAGTTCTGTAGGTTCTTGTGTTGGTGGAGGTGGTGGTCCTAATGTTGTAGTTGGTGGTGGTGGTCCTGATGTTGTAGTTGGTGGTGGTGGCGGTGGTGGTCCTGATGTTGGTGGAGGTGGTGGTCCTGATGTTGGTGGAGGAGGTGGCCCTGATGATGTAGTTGGTGGTGGGGGTGGAGGTGATTCAGTCTCGTCCTGATCCTCCGTTGGTTCATATGGAGGAGCAGTTGTTGGGAGTTCCGTAGGTTCCTGTGTTGGTGGTCGAGGTGGTCCTGATGTTGGTGGTCGAGGTGGACCTGATGTTGCTGGTGGAGGTGGTCCTGATGTTGGTGGTGGAGGTGGTCCTGATGATGGTGGTGGAGGTGGTCCTGATGTTGGTGGTTGAGGTGGACCTGATGTTGGTGGTGGAGGTGGTCCTGATGTTGTAGTTGGTGGTGGTGGTGGTTTAGTCTCGTCCTGATCCTCCGTTGGTTCATACGGTGGAGGAGTTGTTGGGAGTTCTGTAGGTTCCTGTGTTGGTGGTCGAGGTGGTCCTGATGTTGGTGGTGGTGGTGGTGGACCTGATGTTGGTGGTGGAGGTGGTCCTGATGTTGGTGGTGGAGGTGGTCCTGATGTTGGTGGTGGTGGTGGTCCTGATGTTGTAGTTGGTGGTGGTGGTGGCGATTCAGTTTCGTCTTGATCCTCCGTTGGTTCATACGGTGGAGGAGTCGTGGGGAGTTCTGTAGGTTCCTGTGTTGGTGGTGGTGGTGGTCCTGATGTTGTTGTTGGTGGTGGTGGTGGTGGCCCTGATGTTGGTGGCGGTGGTGGTGGCCCTGTTGTTGTTGTTGGTGGTGGTGGTGGCGTCGTCGTCACCGCCGGCGTCGTTGTGCGCCAGGTCCTCGACGGCGGGGAGCTCACGGCCGTAGTCACCCTCACGGACGTCGTCCTCGGAGGGGTGGACGCCGGCGGGGGTGGACTCGGGGAGACCGATGACGTCACTGGAGGGGCTGCGGGGGGGGGGGGGGGGGGGCAAGGGGGGAAGGGGGGGGAAGGGGTTAATTTTTAATTTGATAATTGGTTTTTTACCCTTCTATCTGGCAACAAAACTGACACCTTTTTTACAAGGAGTCGTGTTTGCATTGACCACAATACCTGCAGTCGTAATGCAAACAAAAAACATAAACACATAACTCTGATAATGTATGCACTGTCCTTGAAGTTGATTGGTCCACACCTGAGACAGCTTTTCTCACAGCCTAGTATCACATGGTCCTTGAAGTTGATTGGTCCACACCAGAGACAGCTTTCCTTAGAGCCTAGTCTCACATGGTCCTTGAAGTTGATTGGTCCACACCCGAGACAGCTTTCCTTAGAGCCTAGTCTCACATGGTCCTTGAAGTTGATTGGTCCACACCCGAGACAGCTTTCCTTAGAGCCTAGTCTCACATGGTCCTTGAAGTTGATTGGTCCACACCCGAGACAGCTTTCCTTAGAGCCTAGTCTCACATGGTCCTTGAAGTTGATTGGTCCACACCCGAGACAGCTTTCCTTAGAGCCTAGTCTCACATGGTGTTGGACCAGATGACGTCAAAACTTCTCTGATGGTGCATTGTCTTTGAGTTGTGCGCCTTTTGGCGTCATCTGGTCCAACACCAATGGAGACTAGGCTCTAAGGCAAGCTGTCTCGGGTGTGGACCAATCAACTTCAAGGATCTATGGGTTTCTATGGGTCTCTATGAGTGTCTATGAATGTCTATGGGTCTCTGTGGGTCTCTATGAGTCTCTATGAGTCTCTATGGGTCTCTATGAGTCTCTGTGTGGGTCTACTGCCTCACCACAGAAGTAGACGGGGCAGCATGCTCCATCGCTCTCCGTGAGTCTATGAGTGTCTATGAGTCTCTATGAGTGTCTATGTGTGTCTGTGGGTCTCTGTGGGTCTCTGTGGGTCTCTATGAGTGTCTGTGGGTCTCTATGAGTGTCTGTGGGTCTCTATGGGTCTCTATGAGTGTCTGTGGGTCTCTATGAGTGTATGTGGGTCTCTATGAGTGTCTGTGTGGGTCTAATGCCTCACCACAGGAGTAGACGGGGCAGCATGTTCCATCGCTCTCCGTGAGTCTATGAGTGTCTGTGAGTGTCTGTGGGTCTCTATGAGTGTCTATGAGTCTCTGTGGGTCTCTGTGGGTCTCTATGAGTGTCTGTGTGTCTCTATGAGTCTCTGTGTGGGTCTACTGCCTCACCACAGGAGTAGACGGGGCAGCATGTTCCATCGCTCTCCGTGAGTCTATGAATGTCTATGCGTCTCTGTGGGTCTCTGTGGGTCTCTATGGGTCTCTGTGGGTCTCTATGGGTCTCTATGAGTCTCTGTGAGTCTCTATGAGTCTCTATGAGTGTCTATGAGTCTCTGTGGGTCTCTATGAGTGTCTATGGGTGTCTATGAGTCTCTATGGGTCTCTATGAGTCTCTGTGTGGGTCTACTGCCTCACCACAGGAGTAGACGGGGCAGCATGGTCCATCGCTCTCCGTGAGTCTATGAGTGTCTATGAGTCTCTATGAGTCTCTTTGAGTGTCTGTGGGTCTCTATGAGTGTCTGTGGGTCTCTATGAGTCTCTGTGGGTCTCTATGAATGTCTATGAGTCTCTGTGGGTCTCTATGAGTGTCTGTGGGTCTCTATGAGTCTCTATGAGTCTCTATGGGTCTCTATGAGTCTCTATGAGTGTCTGTGGGGCTCTGTGGGTCTCTATGAGTGTCTGTGGGTCTCTATGGGTCTCTATGAGTGTCTATGAGTGTCTATGAGTCTCTGTGTGGGTCTACTGCCTCGCCACAGGAGTAGACGGGGCAGCATGGTCCATCGCTCTCCGTGAGTCTATGAATGTCTATGAGTCTCTATGGGTCTCTATGAGTGTCTATGAGTGTCTGTGGGTCTATATGAATCTCTGTGGGTCTCTATGAGTATTTATGAGTGTCTATGAGTCTCTGTGGGTCTCTATGAGTCTCTGTGGGTCTCTATGAGTGTCTATGAGTGTCTATGGATCTCTATGAGTGTCTATGGATCGCTATGAGTGTCTATGAGTGTCTATGGATCTCTATGAGTGTCTATGGGTCTCTATGAGTGTCTGTGGGTCTACTGCCTCACCACAGGAGTAGACAGGGCAGCATGTTCCATCGCTCTCCGTGAGTCTATGAGCGTCTGTGGGTCTCTATGAGTGTCTGTGGGTCTCTGTGGGTCTCTATGGGTCTCTATGGTTCTCTGTGGGTCTCTGTGGGTCTCTATGAGTGTCTGTGGGTCTCTATGAGTCTCTGTGAGTCTCTGTGGGTCTCTATGGGTGTCTGTGGGTCTCTATGAGTGTCTATGAGTGTCTGTGTGTGTCTCTATGGGTCTCTATGAGTGTCTGTGGGTCTCTGTGGGTCTCTATGAGTGTCTGTGGGTCTCTATGAGTGTCTGTGGTTGTCTATGAGTGTCTGTGGGTCTCTATGAGTGTCTATGAATGTCTATGAGTCTCTATGAGTCTCTGTGGGTCTCTGTGGGTCTCTATGAGTGTCTATGAGTCTCTGTGTGGGCCTACTGCCTCACCACAGGAGTAGACGGGGCAGCATGTTCCATCGCTCTCCGTGAGTCTATGAATGTCTATGGGTCTCTGTGGGTCTCTGTGGGTCTCTATGAGTGTCTGTGGGTCTCTATGAGTGTCCGTGGGTCTCTGTGGGTCTCTATGAGTCTCTATGGGTCTCTATGAGTCTCTGTGTGAGTCTCTGTGTGGGTCTCTGTGTGGGTCTCTGTGTGGGTCTACTGCCTCACCACAGGAGTAGACGGGGCAGCATGGTCCATCGCTCTCCGTGAGTCTATGAATGTCTATGCGTCTCTGTGGGTCTCTGTGGGTCTTATGAGTGTCTGTGGGTCTCTATGAGTGTCTATGGGTCTCTGTGGGTCTCTATGAGTCTCTGTGTGGGTCTATGAGTGTCTGTGCGTCTCTGTGGGTCTCTATGAGTGTCTGTGGGTCTCTATGAGTGTCTATGGGTCTCTGTGGGTCTCTATGAGTCTCTGTGGGTCTCTATGAGTGTCTGTGCGTCTCTGTGGGTCTCTATGAGTGTCTGTGGGTCTCTATGAGTCTCTGTGGGTCTCTATGAATGTCTATGAGTCTCTGTGGGTCTCTATGAGTGTCTGTGGGTCTCTATGAGTCTCTCTGAGTCTCTATGAGTCTCTATGGGTCTCTATGAGTCTCTGTGGGTCTCTATGAGTGTCTATGAGTCTCTGTGGGTCTCTATGAGTGTCTGGGCGTCTCTTTGGGTCTCTATGAGTGTCTGTGGGTCTCTATGAGTGTCTATGAGTCTCTATGAGTGTCTATGAGTCTCTGTGTGGGTCTACTGCCTCACCACAGGAGTAGACGGGGCAGCATGTTCCATCGCTCTCCGTGAGTCTATGAATGTCTATGCGTCTCTGTGGGTCTCTGTGGGGGGTTCTATGAGTGTCTGTGGGTCTCTATGAGTGTCTGTGGGTCTCTATGGGTCTCTGTGTGGGTCTCTGTGTGGGTCTACTGCCTCACCACAGGAGTAGACGGGGCAGCATGGTCTCCACGCATTGCTCTCACGTGAGTCTATGAGTGTCTATGAGAGTCTCTGTGGGTCT